TTTGGAGTGCAGAGGCAGGCAGTCAGTAAGCCATCATTAGCTCCCTTAGCTGAGGAGCTAAAAGCAACTGAGAGCTGCTGGGAGATGGCGAGTCCATTTCCTTAAGGGGTGTGGCCCCTGAGAGGCTACACATGCTCCAGTAGATGGTCCACGCACATACTGACAGCTCTAAGCAGACTCAGTTGGGAAGGAGTATTGGTGGGGGAAGGAATGGGGTGAATTTGATGATTTGTTTTTTTAAGACATAAAAATGAAATTTAAAAACAAATTTTTTGAACAGAAAAGAAGCCTTACTTCAATTGACAGTAACAGTAGAATTAATGAACTCTTTCTCATCCGTTTCCTCAGTCGCTGTAGATACTCATAGACCAGTTACTCATAAGAGGTTTAACAGTCTAGTATAAACCACATCCTCACGCACACAATGTCATGATTAGCATCTCCATGAATTCTCAAAGGTTGAAATTTTTTTAAAAAAAATTAAACTATTCTCATGGTTCTAATGTGTTTTTCTGTTAGGATAAGATACGATGACCAGGTGGGAAGAGTTTGTTTGGGCCTCACTTCCACGTCATAGTCCATCACTGAGTTAAGTCGGGGCCGAAACTGTAGGAGAAACTCAAGCAGAAACCACGGAATAATGCTGCTCACTGGTTTGCTCATTGCTCACACCCAGCCAGGAGTTTTGTTTTTCTACAAAGCTCAGGACTACCTGCCTGGGGATTGGGATGGTGCACAGATGGCCGGGCCCTCCTACATTCATCAAGACAATGCCCCAAATACATGTCCACAGCCAGTCTGATCAAGCCAATTCCTTAATGGCTGTTCCGTCTTCCTGGGTGACTCTAGGTTGGGGTTGATTTGGCAATCATAATTACCCAGGACACTCTAGTCCTTATCAACTTGGCACATGAACACATCCCTGTTACATCATAACATTTTCTTTCTTGTCTCCAAGATCTCATGTTAATATCATAACAGAAAACACCGTAGAACTTTAAAAAATCCTCTAGTCTCTAAAGTTTTCAATGCTTTAAAAATTCAAGGTCACTTTTCAGTGGGCTCTTATAAAATCAAAAACAAGTTTGACAACTTATTCTGAAAAGGAAGAACCAGAGCATAGGAGCAATCATACTTAAGCAAGACCAAAATCCACAGCAGAGTTCAAAGTCTGACATCTGAAACTCACTTACGATCTCCTGAGCTTCAAAGGGCTTGGGTCAAAACCCTCTTAATCTCTGCTCTCTGTAGAACGCACACCTTGTCCGGTAGGCTTAGCCAGGTTCCACTTCACACTTTCTACTGCCCTTGGTAGCCTGTCCAGAACCCTGGAATCGTTAACATTCTGGGGTCTCCCCTGCATCTGCGGCTTAACCTTCACCAGCCGCCTCTCAGAGCCTTCCTGGAGTAACTCCAAACCTGCCAGAAGGCACCGAGCCTCAGCTGCTCGACAGGCCCCATTCATGCCTTCAAACCAGTACCATACAGGCGACTCTTGCACTCTGACAAGTTCAGCTGTCACCCTGCGATGCCAACTTGGATCCCCTGAATCACAGCTTTTGTGTTCTGACTGTGAGAAAATACTTGCCAGAAGACTGCACGTCAGTTACGCTGATCTCGTATTAATCATGACTGAGTCTCAACCCCAGCTGACTAGCGTCCATTGTCTCTTTGCAACAGGTTTCACCTTAGTGATGCCGGTCTCTTGTTAATCACAACTGATTCCTCAGCCTCAGCCGACCAGCAATCCCAGATTCTTTATCCAAAATATCACACAAATGGCCTCAATAGTCTTTGCCTCCTTCTGAAACCTCACAATGCAAGCCTCCATTGTCTGCACGTCTCTCGTGGCCTTATCTTCCGAGCTCCCACTAGACCAAGTCCATTAAGCTCTGAGCACTCAATGGTTTTTTGTTTTTTCAGTTTAAAGTGCCAAAATCCTCCGCAATCCTCCAACAAAATAGTCAAAAGGCATAAAAAAAGCCGTACGGTCAGGTCCGTAATAGCTGCAACACCACTCCTGGTGGCAACATATGGTCTAGCTTGTATTTCTCTTGCTGTCGTGAAACACTGACCAAAAACTAAAACCAACTTGTGGAGGAACGGCTCTCCTTCCAGCTTCCACTTCCAGGTCACGATCCATCATTGAGCAAAGTCGGGGCAGAAACTGTGAGCTAATTAAAATGTAGTGACTTCATTTATTAAAATAAAAACGTTCCAGCTGTGCAACAATGCTTACACCACTATCTTTTTGTTGTTATTTGTTTGTCTGGGCTTTTTTCAAAAAATATTTATTTATTATGTATACAATATTCTGTCCATGTGTATGCCTGCAGGCCAGAAGAGGGCACCAGACCCCATTACAGATGGTTGTGAGCCACCATGTGGTTGCCGGGAATTGAACTCAGGACCTTTGGAAGAGCAGGCAATGCTCTTAACCACTGAGACATCTATCCAGCCCCCTGTTTTTGGCTTTTCAAGACAGGGTTTCTCTGTGTGTCCTTGGCTATCCTGGAACTCGCTCTGTAGACCAGGCTGGCCTCATAAATCACAGAGATGCGCCTGCCTCTGCCTCCTGAGTGCTGGCATTAAAGGCATGTGCCACCACCGCCCAGTTTTACCAGTATTATCTTGCATCCAGAGCTTTATTAGAATATTTCACACGCATGCTTCCAAAAACAGAACATTTCTGGGAGAGTCCCAGGAAACACGACTGCTTTCTCGACTCATCAAGCCATCTGATCCTCCACCATCTGCTCTTCCCTGCTTCTTTATAGTAGCAAAGCTGGCTAGGTAACAGCCGACTGTGAGTTTAGGGATGAGCGTACAAGACTAGAGATGCTCACAGCACAAGGCCAACTCCACAAATTCTGGAGTCAGCATCCAAAGCCCCTCCAGCACTTTCATTTCAGGACAGACTAGAGCAATTTATCTGATACTTCATTGGATATATACATATTATAATTATATATGTATAAATTATATATATAATTTCATGTATAAATATATATTTATATATAATTTTTAGTGAAATTGGCTTTGATTGAAAGCATTTGTGTCATAGGAAAAATATACGTCAAAAGCCACTCCTTGTTTTTTTTTTCCCCATTCTCCGTCATTTGCAGTCAGAATATCAGCAAGGCCATTTGAATAAAGGACATGCAAAAGTAGCAGCAGGGAAAAAAAGGGACAATGTACACAACTCAAATTCTCTCTCAAAGTAGTTCTTTGTTCCCTTTATTCTTCAGGCATTTGAACCTTAAGGATGTCATTTTGAAAGCATCTAAGACATGCAAAATTCTACAAACGCATTATGGAAATCAGCAGGATACCCAACGTTTATTTGGGTCAAGGCAGCCTAACTCCATCTCCACTCTTCTGGCAAATACAAAATCCCCAGAAAACCTTGATCAAATACAAATATCCCAAAGCTCTTTAGTCAAGACGCTCCCATATCCAGACACATCATTAACCTAAACATCATTTCAAACACTGAGACTGACCATGTGCTCTGATCTTTGAACAATGTCAAGATCACATCATTAAACTGAGCAGCACTCAGTACTGGAATCATAGCAAATTTATGTCCTTCTGTGGAATTCCCAGACTCTGGTGGCTTCAAAGAACTCATATAAGACAATGGGACTTTCTGGGAAAAAAAGAAGGGGATTTTTGAGACCTGTAGCATTCAGGAATGACAGATTTGCAACAGTGAAATTCTAAGAATTGTTTCTCTTCTACCACGACTCACATCCAGCTACAAGGCAGAGTTTATTGTGGGGAATTAGAATCTTTTTTTTTTTTTTTTTTTGATTTTCGAGACAGGGTTTCTCCGTAGCTTTTTTTTGGTTCCTGCCCTGGAACTAGCTCTGTAGACCAGGCTGGCCTCAAACTCACAGAGATCCACCTGCCTCTGCCTCCCGAGTGCTGGGATTAAAGGCGTGTGCCACCACCGCCCAGCACTAGAATCTTTGAACAAAGAAAACGGGCCAGGCATGGTGGTACAGGCCTTGTCATCTCAGTAATCTGGAGGTAGACACAGAAGGATCTCTAGTTCAAGACCAGCCTAGGATATATAAGATTCTGTCTCAGAACAAAAACCCAAACCAAAGGAGGGGATGTGAAGGAGAAGGGAGGGAACCCAGAAAAGGAGAAAATCAGACTCGTTAATTTGTTTCAGTGCAAATTAATTGCCTGATGTGCAAAGCCGTGGGCCCCATTCCCAGCATCACATATACCAGGCATCATGGCCATAAGCCTGTAATCCACACTCGGGAGATAGAGACAGGAGGGTCCAGAAGTTCAAGGACCTCCTTGAATATGTAGGGACTCTGAGGTCATTTGAGGCCAGCCTGGGATACACGACACCGTGTCTCAAAAACCAACCAACAAATATGTAAATAAATAAGCAAGCAAAGAAAACGTAAATTCTGTATTTACATGATCCTGTGTCCTGCTGTGTTATGAGTGATCCCACGATAGCAAAGGAGGAAGCTAGTTAAAAACTATATGCACAAGGCAGCTAGCAGACCTGTCTGACAAGTCCTTTCGTCCTTTCCCCTTCTTTATTGGGAAACACCTTTTCCCAAACGCCTCCAGCCAAGCAAGCTGCTTTTCACCTGCACCTGGATTAATTTACCACGACGCTGCCTGAAGACTTACTGCTTTCTCTTATTCACACGGAAAAAAAAAAAAAGGAGGCCAGAGGGGACTGAAAGAAATGTGGCTAAGTATCTGCCTGGCTCCTGCTTCACTCCTTGAATAATCTGAGTATTATTTGTGGGAAATGCTTATCACGACACTGCCAGTGTCCAGCTTCGAGCGTCAGTCTGAAATTACCAGCAAAATTCCTGCCTATCAGTCGCCACCTAGGGGGCGAAAGCAACCTTTACACCAGAGTGTACTCGGGTTTCTGAGCGCATGGCTCCCAACCTTTCTAAAACCCCAAGGTGAAATTCTTTGAATCCAAGTCCCATGAAATAGGATATATTACCCAATACCTTCTGTGGGAAATGTGTCAAAGAAGGGAATATCACAAAGGCCACGCTTCATGGGAACTCTTCATGACGAGCACCGTGCTGTGGCATCCTAAGGCGGGGACACTGTCAGAGAGAAACAGGTACAAAGTCAAAAGTGAATAAAGTAATTCACAAATTTAAGTAACCCAACTGTTTATCATGCTCACCACCGACAGCTTGTGAGGTTTATGCTGTTGCCCCCACACACTGCCACTCTCTGAGCTTTGCGCCCGCTTGACTAACAATTCCAGAGATTGCTATGCAAACATTACATACAGAGAGATTCTATATGGGGTGACTAGGGCTTTAGTTAGTGCCCCACTTAGCTTTGACTGCCTACTTGTTATAATCTACAGTCGCCTGAGAGGAAACCCTCAGTTGAGGAGTTTCCTAGATCAGAATGACCTATGGGGTATGTCTGTGGGGGCTTGTTTTGCTTAGTAATGAAGGTAGGAGGGTCCAGCCCACTGCAGGCAACACCACCCCTAGGCAATGGGTCTTGGGTTCTGGAAGAAAGCTAGCTGAGCATGGGCTTGTGAGTGAGCTAGCAAGCTATCCTCCTCCATGGTCTCTGCTTCCGATTCCGGTCTGGGGATCCTACCTTAACTTCTCTCAAGAATAGATTGGGACTCGGCAGGAAGCCAAATAAGCCCCTTCCTCCCCAAAATTGCTTTCTGTCATAGTGTCTTATCACAGTCACAGAATGAAACCAGAACAGTTAGCTCTCCCTTCCCATTTAGGGATCTATGTTTTTCTTTTCCCCTGAGAGTGTTTCCCGATGTAGCCCTGGTTAGCCTGGAATTAACTGTGCAGCCCAGGCCGGCTTTGAGCTCACCATCTTCCTGCCTTGCCCTCTTACTATTAGAATTACAGGCCGGAGTCATCATGCCTGGCTCCTTTTTTTAAATTCCCCTGAAAGAGCATTACTCTAGACTATTATTATAAGAATGAACACTTAGCATAAAAAGCTCTGTACAAAGCTTTTTTAAATTGTTTCTTCAAAATACACTATGACAAAGGTTAGGAATAATCATACACAACTACATCACCTATTGTCAAATTGCTCTCCTGGAACATCAAGCCAAAGAATCAGGCCATCAGCAGAATCACTGAGCCTGATTCCTTTCCAGCCCTTCTCACACTGGATCATTATCATTTTAGGTATGAGGCCTAGGCTAGTATATTTTGGCACCCCGAAGCACCTTTAATTTGCATTTAATTTTATGTGGGCTGAAGCTCTGCCAACCTGAGATTCATATTCAACTGCCTATTCATTGTCTCCAGTGGAATTTTTCCTTGGTATCTCAGCCAAACAAGTGCACCCGAACTCTTAATTCCCAGCCCCAAACCTGCCCTCCACTTCCCACTAGCTCCCTCCCACCCAGTAATTAGCACTTTCCTGAGTATAGGCACCTCCACCCAGAGGATCGGGCTGAAAACCCGGGAGTTACCCTCCCTTCCTCTCCACTTCAATCCCTTCACCAACAACACATGTTCCAAACCCATTTCCCCATTGCTGCTACCTCCTAGGTCTAATGCCTCGTTGCCCTAACCCAAATCATGTTGGCAACTTCCTAACTAGCCTTTCTGCTTCCATCCCTAGATAAGAGCCGACATGATTTAAAATCAAAACTTTTGCATAATTTTGGAGACAGGCATGCCCTCTGTAGCCCAGACTGGCCTAAAGTTCAAAATGTAACCCAGGCTGACCTCACAGCAATCCTCCTGCTCACAGTAATGTGTCTTGTGTGTGTGCCACCATGCCTGACTTTAAACACCCTAAGCCAAACCATGTCAGACATCTGCTCGAAACCCTCCAGTGGCTTTAAAGGAAATCTCAATTTCTCGCCTTTGAAATATGGCCTCAGCCTCCTTCCTTCTACTCATTTCACCTCATTGTCCCCTCCTGAATTCTCCATCTTAGTTCTATTGGCATCTTTACTGGACACAAATTCATTAGCTATAACACTTAAGGCTTTCACACTGTGTCTCTTCTATGGAACATGTTTGCCCCAACCGAGATCTGTTCATGCCTGATTCCTTTTTGGGGGGAGAAGGATTTGACTCAAAAGTCTAGTCTCCTCAGAGATGCTATCCCTGGACAACCAAAAGAGCACTGATCTCACAACATCAGTGCTACCCGATCATAATGTGTTTGGGTTTGCATCTCCTTTCCTTCCTTCCCTCAACTGTAAGTTTCGTGAGAGCAAGAATCACATGTCTGCTTCCCTAATATCACCTCAGAGCCTGGGACAATTAGAAGAGAGGAGAAACTCAATAAGGCTAAAGCTGAGTTAAACAGAAACTTTGCCCGACAGCTCCTTTTCAAAGGTATTACTTCTGTATTTAGAATGCGGATACCAGTTTCTCAAAGCCAAGGGTGCAATGGTAATGCAGGCTAGCATGCCCTTTTAGACTAGAGCTGTTAACACTAATGGACACTGAGAGTAACTGAGGTGTACCTACCAATCACCTACTCAGACACATTGGGAGCTGTAGTGATGAGTCGTATTGAGTTCACTCTCAAAGACCTGAGTCTAAAAAGAGAGAGAGATTAGGACAGATGACTGGAATCTGATGCACAAAATGCCAGAAGAGGACTAGAACACTTCGTGCCACAGAACAGCAAGGATACTATTAACATTTGTTCATAAGAAATGAATGTCAATCTCAAGGTCCAAATCAGGAGCAGAAGGAGAGAGAGCACGAGCAAGGAACTCAGGACCGCGAGGGGTGCACCCACACACTGAGACAATGGGGATGTTCTATCGGGAACTCACCAAGGCCAGCTGGCCTGGGTCTGAAAAAGCCTGGGATAAAACCGGACTCACTGAACATAGCGGACAATGAGGACTGAGTAGTCAAGAACAATGGCAATGGGTTTTTGATCCTACTGCACGCACTGGCTTTGTGGGAGCCTAGGCAGTTTGGATGCTTACCTTACTAGACCTGGATGGAGGTGAGTGGTCCTTGGACTTCCCACAGGGCAGGGAACCCTGATAGCTCTTTGGGCTGACGAGGGAGGGGGACTTGATTGGGGGAGGGGGAGGGAAATGGGAGGCAGTGGCGGGGAAGAGACAGAAATCTTTAATAAATAAATAATTTTTTTAAAAAAAGAAATGAATGTCAGACTCTAGAATGTGCTTTGTAGGTTTTAAATGTGCCACAATTGCTCCCTTCAAGAGGAATGATATGTGCATGAGAACAATTTTAGATTGCCAGTGGTGGTGGCGCACACCTTTAATCCCAGCACGCAGGAGGCAGATCCAGGTGGATCATTGTAAATTCAAGGCCAGCGTGGTCTACAAGAGCTAGTTCCAGGACAGTTAGGACTGCTACACAAAAAAACCCTGTCTCGAGAAACCAAAAAAAAAAAAAAAAAACCAAACAAACAAAAAGTAATAGGTGCACCACTATGCATGGCTCTTAAAAAACATTTTTTTAAAAATCTAATAATTTTTTTAAAAAAAGAACAATTTTAGTTGTCATAACAATTGTCCCAGGAAGGTGCATCTTCACTATTTGGTAAGCAGAGGGGCCACTAATGCTAAATGCCCTGCAGTTCCTGGGCAGACTGGCATAATGTTGTCTAGTGCCAACACAAAATGGCTTATCCCTTTCTAGAACATAGAGTACTTTCACGGCTGGCAAGATAGTTGAGTGGGTAAAGTATACAAGCAGCGACCACACAAGTATGAGGATGTGCGTTCAGATGCCCATAATTCCTGCATATCTGGACAAGTACCATGTGTCTGTAACCCCGATGTTGCTCTGGTAAGATGGGAGATAGAGGCAAGAGACTCCTCAGAAGCTCAAGGAGCAGCTAGGCTGACAAAGGAAATAGGAAACAGCATGAGACTCTGTCTTAAAAACAAGGTAGAAATTAAGGACTGATATCCAAGGTTGCCTTTTGGCGGCCACGCATGTCGCAGCATGCATGTACTCTCCTCTCACCCATGAACAAACACATACATCCTACAAATATCTACACAGAAGATTTAAATCTTTCAGAGATCGAGATGAATAAATTTAGCATGCTATTCTTTCAAACACTTCTTGATTTTTAAGGTAATAATATAACTACATCGTTCCCCCTTCCCTTTCCTCCCTCCAAACTTGCATGCTATTTTTAATTGTTTTTCTTCTGTTTTTACCCTGAACTGTTTTTTTTTATATAACATTTTGACCCAGATCCTATATTCATTCAGTATGCAATAGAAAGAAAACCGGAGTCTAAGAAAAGAATAGAAAATAAAGATTCAGCGGAAAGTATCATAATATAACCGGGCCTGAGGAAAAGAAGCTGCCCACGGATGATGCTCAGTTTCTATCAACGATGCCTGCATCATCCCTGCATGCTACGATTATGTTCACTTCACATAGACAGTGCTGTGGGAGGTCGGCTGACAATTTCCTGATTACATGGTAAGGCAAGAAGATAATCTTCAATCGGAATCTTTCTAGGTGGGGCTTCTTTCCCTTGGGCAGAAGTCCAGGGACTACAGGGCTACCAGGAATGAAATGCAGAGACAGGACAGGACATCACTCAGCTCCCCCCAGCTACAGGAGTCCAATCTGGAAAGCTCTGACTTTTCTGGGTGAAACAACCCAGACCTTCTAGAATTTCAAGATAAGCTAAAGATCTTGATTTCTACTGAGATCTGCAGCTTTTCAATGTGGGCCATCCCCAGATTTAATTGCTTTTTCAAGCAGTATAGGCTATTGAGCATGGTGGCTCACATGCACCCTTAATCCCAGCACTTAGAAGGCAGAGGCAGGTGGATATCCGTGAGTTCAAGTCCAGCCTGGACTACAAGTTAATGCCCTGTATCAAAAATGAAACAAAACAAAAATCAAGTAGTATAGATTAGAGCCTATACATTAAGGCAAGAATCTGCTCAACTGTATACATTTGGTACTCCCTAAGAATTTAGGAATAACAAAGACAATTATTAAATATACTCACACCTGAACAAGACTCTCAAAAAAAAGGAGAGAGAAATAGGTTCAGGGACCCAGGTAGGTCACACCAGATAACTGGGACTACTTTTGTCACAGTCTTCCTTGTTCAAACAGTCTCAACATGCCAGGCTGAGGAGAGATGGCTCAGTGAGTGGGCAAAACATTTATCATGCAAGAGTGGAGGGCCTGTGTTCAGATCTCCAGAACCTACTAAAGATAGGCGTGGCCGACATGTCGGTAGTGCCAGTGTCCCTGTAGTGAGCCAATCCCTGGAAGCTCCCAGGATAGCTAGCCTGCCATGCCCAGGTCTGAACAACAAAAAACACTCTAAAACAAAGCAGACGTAAGGGAGGGTAACTGGGGCTGCCTTCTGAGCTTTACACTTTTTCTGTGACGTGCACACATGCTCACACACAACATAAAGAATTTCTCAGCATCCTCGATTTATTACTGTATCAAATCGCAAACTCCCCTCAAGACACTAAAAACAAGACCCTCCCCACCTCAGCACCCCTAGCCTGCATCCTACCCCTAGGTGCACTGGCCCATTTTAGATGAGCCAGTCTTCCTTGAGGTCTTTAAAAGATGCAGAGCTTCTCACCAGTTATCCCCTCCCAATACAAATTTTCCCCAGCCTTCAAAGTCCTCTTCACAAAACTATGATAGAAAAAAAAAACAAAAACAAAAACAAAACAGCAGCCAAAACTACCTTCAAAAGCAAGTAGTCCTGGTTTTAAATCCCACCTCTGGCGCCAAAAAGCTAGGCGGTTTTCTTGGGTTTGTTACCTAAATTCTGTGAACTGTAGAAGATCCCTGTGGAGTATCCCTTATCCAGAATGGTGGCGATCGCAAGGATCTATATATAAGGAGACATCTTGAGGGTGGACACACAGAGCTCATTTATGCTTACCGTGCAGGTTTGCTGTGTAGCCTCTAGGTCATTTTATTTACTGAAGCTTTGTTTTACAGCCGCCCTATCATATGACAGCATACGTGGACTTTTCCACTTGTGGCATCATGACAATATGCAAAAAGTTACAGATTTTGGAACGTTTGAAATTTCCGAGTTTTGGATTCAAGTTACTCAAATCCCTAATAGTGACTAGCGCTTACCTTACAAGGATTTTCCTTCTTTTTATCTTTTACATGTGTATAAGGCAGGCTGTCATGTGCCTCAGGGTAGCCTCCAACTCTCTATCTAGCTAAGGATGACCTTAATTCTTCTGTTTCCACCTTCTGAGTGCTAGAATAATAAGCTGCCATGCCCACTCTTTCCTCATATACACACATACGTACACACACGCATGCATATATATGAGTTTTGAAGAATCACACGAAATGATGCAAATCAGGTACTTAACCCCAAGCACTCGATTAATATGAGCCTTATTATTATTACAGCGACTCAATAAGTCACTGGCTTTCTTTCTTTATATTCCCCAGTTCTTACACTGCCTCTTCTGAAAAATAAGCCCCTGGATTTCACACAGTCCATGATGGCTCCCACTGGGGCCCAGGTATTAGGCTGCCTCCATCTGCAAGTGAGCTTCAAAGCTTCTTGAAAGGCCATGAGTATCCTGGAAGCCACAACAAAAAACTTCTGTCGACCTGAATGGACAGTGAATCAGAATTCTTAGACTACTACCTCGGAAAAAAGTCAGCAAAGACTCTTCTCTCCGCTGCTGACAGTTCACGGCTTCGGGGGGGAAGAAGTGTCGTTTTCTTTACAGGCCTACCCTGCTCCAGTGGATGATTCCCCACCATGAATATACAGGCAACACTGTATGGGGTGTTTGTTTAAAGGACTTGATATTGGGAAGATCTGAGAAGAATTAGGGGAAGAACAGGGGTAAATAAGATTAAAACACTTTGCGTGTATGTATGAAATTCCCAAAGGATTAACAAAAATGTTGTTTATTTTAAAGAATTCTATAATTATACTTAAAGTAAGATTGTTTTTCCATCCTGAAAAACAAAAGTTCCTTTTTTTCTGGCAAAAGCAGGGGTACTTACTGGGAAAACAAATGCATAGCTAGTCTTAGCAGCACAGTGCTTCAATCTCTCTCTCTCTCTCTCTCTCTCTCTCTCTCTCTCTCTCTCCCCCCAACACCACCATTTTGTATTGCCTGATCTTCAAATCCACATTTCCTAAGCTACAAGCCTCGCCATTTTTCTAATACTGGAGATGACACACGAAGCCAGTAAAAGGCTACACTTTACCTGAATGTGTGATAGCAAAAACTAGACAAAAGGGGCACACTCCAGGTGTGATCCTGGGGTCCACCTACTGCAGAAGAGGGTCTCTGCATGCCCTATCCTCTACCTTATGATTCCTCGTCAAGTCAGCCCCAAGCATCCTCTCCTGCGGGTAGCAGCTGGCATTCCCTGGGCACCGGTGCCTGGAGGCTTATTCCACTGTTCTGTGTGCTGCACAAGAACTGAAGTAAGAAATACTTTCATGTGAGTTACCCGATGCTTCAAGTTACTCCATCCTTTTGAGAGGACACATTCCACACACAGGAATACAAAAAACAGAGCACAGAAAAATGTGGCTACTAGCATCTCACATGCTTAAAATTTCTTCTTTTAAAAGTACCGAATCTGAGAGACCACAACTACATTTTCGCAAATGAAAAAGTCATCCCTACCAATTATACTGCACAACCTTACATTCTTTCAACAGTATGAGGTTTCAAAATCAGGGCTGAGGCAGGAGGAACCCCGGGCAAAATGGGTACCATCTTTGAGACCCTGTGGCAAATAATAAGGCCCCGGTGGCCCCCATGCTGGATTCCAGGGTTCCAATCAACACAAGTCACCCCTTAGAGTTAGTGACATTCAAAAAGTACTCAGGGAGTAATTGGCTTCAACTAAAATCTCAACAAGCAGCTGATAAACGTAAAGAAGGCACCAGTCCCAGTGACCAACACGCTCAGGCATACCAGTACCCACAGTATGAGTGACCCCTGACCCTCCTGCCCTTCGACCCAAGCTCAAGACTGCACTCCAAAGGCTTTTGAGGGTGACCCTGCTTTCTTGATCAAATTAGAAGTAGTTTAATTCCACCCACACTAGGAACCTCAAGCTTAGATTCAAGTCCCCGAAGTCAAGGTCCTAGTCGTCAACAGAGGGCAGAGGCAACGGACCCTTGCTAGTGGTTAACTAAATGATGAATGTCAGGGGAACAGGTTGAGGAACCGGAGCACTTGGCTCAGGCGTCCATTAAGGGAGGACATCCTTTGGCTTTCCTTAAGCAATCTAGTGCACCCTATGGGAAAGCTTCCAGTGACCTCGGCTGCAGCAACGGCCACAGCGCCCCCTAGTGCGACACCGAGCCCCAAGAGAGCAGCTTGACGAATCCAAGGGGGAAAGCCTAGGGGTGTCCCTAGAAAACCAGACTCCAGCTAGCGCTGGCCTGGCTACCCGGTCCTCTCAGAAGCCCCTCCCCAGTGCTCATTCAGAGTCCCGCGCGGAGCCAGCCCGCCAGGCACCCACGACTCTTGTAGGCCAGGGCGGCCGGCCAACCGGGACGCAGAAGGACGCGGCCGCCTAGTCGGTAAGCAGAACTGGGGGCATTTACCGGGCGCCTGGGCAGCCGCTCTACCTCCACGCTTGGCTCCGCTGGGATAGCGGAGCCGCCACAGCTCCTGTTGCCGCCTCCCTCCAGCCGCCGCAGTGTCAACCATCAACGCTCCTGGTCGCTCTCTGGGACTGCTGCGGGCGAGGCCAGCTGTTGAATGGCTCAGGGCGGGACACCAAGGCGTCCTCGCCGCATCCAAGCAGGCGAAGCAAGTGCGCGTGCCCGTGCCAACGCCCCGCTGCAAGCCCCGGGAGCTTCCTGGTGGATGCTTCCTGGATCCTGGCGGGGGGCTGCCGGGATGCGGGCTCACAAGCCCGCAAGCTCGCTCCCCTCGGTGGGCTCTTGTGCTGAACCTCTCCTCGTGAGCTCCGCCCCCTTCGCTGCCATCCCTCAACTTGCCGGCAGAACCAATAGCAACCACAGACTAGATCCGCCCCTTGGATTTCCCCAGGGCCAATCGCCTTCTCCTAAGCAAACATTCTAATAACCCCGCCCCTCCGGGGCAGCAAAGCTGGGACCAAAGTTAATACCTTTGCGAGGGTCTGACCAGCCCAAAGTTTTGTCCAGGTTTACTCACCTCCCTCCATGACGGGATTTAGAGACTGTAACCACCACCACCTCAGATCCCTGGCACAGTTGTAAAAGCTGGGATGTGGCAAGGTGAACCCGTGAGCCCTTCGCCAGGGAAAGCCAGGGAAATAGGCATAGGGCAGGAGGTGGAGATAGGTGGCTTCCCGGACCTTGCTGGCCAGCCAGTGTAGCCAATTGGTGACTTTCAGGTTCAGCCAGAGACCTTGGCTCACAAAATAAGGTGCAAAGCAATGAGGAAGACACCAACACTGACCTCTGGCCTCCACACACTTGCACACGTACACACAATGAGAGAGAGAGAGAGAGAGAGAGAGAGAGAGAGAGAGAGAGAGAGAGAAAGGGAGGGAGGGAGGGAGGGAGGGAGGGAGGGAGGGAGGGAGGGAGGGAGAGAACAGCCTGAAGAGAGTGTTACCCAACATCATAACCGAGAACCAGCCACTCACTTGACCAGATCGTCCCCATCCAAGTCAGCAAGGACCTGAAAGAACACATACTGGTTGTGTGTTTATCTTCCTCTTGTTGCCCACTGTCCTAGTACAGGAGTTCAGCCCTTATACGCTGGGAAACTTTTCAAGGACCAGTCACCAAGACTCGGTCTGTGGCTCTGTGATGGCCAGTTGGGTCTCTGGCCTTCTGGCTTAAGGACAAACAATGGCGGCCTTGCCTGTCCTTCTCCACGGTGATCTAACAATTTGAAGACTGCTCTCCTGGCCAACAATTCCAGGCTCTGTTGCTCAAAGGCACAAATTAAGGGTCTTCTCTGAACATAAGCCAATTGCTGTAAATCTTTGGAAAGTAGACACCAAGAGCTGATGTGCCCTCCCTCCTTAGCTCCATACCCAGAGAAGGCCAGGGTGGTCACAACCCTTGCCTAGAGGGCCTTTCTTCGAGTTCTCCAAGTTGACATTCACTTTCGCGAGTGACAAGTCACAAAGCTGACACTTAGTAGATTTCCTGTCAGCTCCTTCCCTAGGGGAGGTTCTCGCTGCCGCAGCTGTTACCAGACAGTTTTCTGCTTGATTATCTGGTTTGGGGGGGGTGATGTTAATTTTACTGTCTTCTGTCAAGACCCCTGATGCTCATTCTGTCCTAAATAAATCTTCACCTCTGCTTGATGTTCAGACCCCCTTCCTCTCTGCACAATTACCACAGAGCCCCTGAACTAGCCGATTTGCCTCTAAACTTGTATGCTTTCAGCTGGGAAGGCTCCCAACACCTCCTTTTCCTTGTCTGTTTCACAGAAGATGCCACACCTATGATTCTAAAATATAATAGGGTCCCCCACTGCATCCCAACTTAAAGGCCCACTGTAATGCAATCCTAATCACTCAGATGGAAGGCAATCCTAATGTTGTGTGATTTCTAATTGGTCTTAATAATAAAAACTCAGAGTCAGCTATCAGGAGGTGAAAGCTGAAGGGTCAGAGAAGCAGCCAGCCACTAAAGAGTTTATACCTCTTCCAATGCTCAGACCGAAGGGACAATCCTGTCTCTATGAAGCCTCAGACTGAATGCTGTCTTTACAAAACCTCAGACTGCATGCTCAGACTGAATCCTCAGACTGCATCTCAGCTCCTGCCTCCTCCTACCTTATATTCCTCTCTCTCTGCCCAGCCATATCCCTCCTGTCTTCACCTCCCTAGTGCTGGGATTAAAAGGATGTAATCCTAAATTCTGGGATCACCTTTGTGTGAACTGTTTCTCTTTTAGACAGATTCAATCTTGTGTAGCCCAGGGTGGCACTGAATTCACAGAGATCCGTCTGCCTGTCTACTGATTGCTGGGATTAAAGGTGTGTGCCACCATAGCTTGGCCTCTGTGGCTAACTAGTGGCTTATCTCTGCACTCTGATCTTCATGTAAGCTTTATTTGTTAAATTATAAACAAAATATCAGGCTGGGCAGTGGTGGCGCACCCCTTAATCCCAGCTCTCTGGGTGGAAGAGGCTAGCAGATCACTGTGTGTTCAAGGCCAGCCTGATCTACAGAGTGAGTTCTAGGACAGGCTCCAAAACTACAGAGAGAAACCCTGTCTCTCAAAAAATTAAAGCAAACAAACGAACAAACAAACCATAATATCATTACAGCCCACCACAGTTGCTAATGTTTCCCCACTCCCCTCTTGCCCCCACTCTCTGAGGTGCCAACCCACTGCGCTGCAAGTAAAAGCCTGGGTAACCTGGGCTCACGTGCCCAAACTTCATCCCTACCCATTCTACTGCCATCTCAGAACACTGTATACTTCGGCTAAACCGAAATTCCTGTTGTGTCTTTTATACGAAATCTAGACGAACTTGATCCCCATCCTCCTCTGCCTGACCTACAACTCATGGATCTAATGTTTTATTCACTGTACAAATATGCCATGCACACTCACCATGTGTCAAATACTCAGGGGTATAAAATGTGTAAGATTAAAATAACACGTAAGATTTAGAGTTGACTATCCCCATGTGTTAGGCATGTATTACATTGTGTGCATAGCTTTTCTTATACAAATACAAATGTGTAGGAGTGGAGACTTCCACCGGGAGCTACTGAGTAGGCTGGGAGTAATAACCCTGCTTCCTTAGCATTGGCAAGCAGACATCAAGGCTGCTGATTAGCTTTGGTTGTTGGGGGCTGGAAATTAAACTCAGGACTTCAATATGTCTGCTAACCACACAGCAACACACACACACACACACACACACACACACACACAGCCAGTTCCTTTGAACTTCAGATGTGCCCAAATGGATGAAAGGATGAGTAAAACGAAACAGCTTTTCTGTCTCCCTTGTTGAATGCCACTGAATGATATTTAAACTCAACTCACTAAGTTTGGCAATTTGAAGGTTAGATAGAGATTATGGCCTTTTTCTTTTATAATCAGTTTAAATTTTATTTTTTTTCTGTTTGATATCTCTGTTTTATTATTTTTATTACTTTATAAATAATACCAATCAAAATTTCCACTTCCTCTCCTCCTCCCATTTCCCTCCTGCTCCCCACTCACCCTCTTCCCTCCCTGTCCTGAGAGAGGGCAGGGTAACCTGCCCTGTGGGAAGTCCAAGGCCCTCCCCCCTTCATCCAGGCTTGGGAAAGTTTGCATCCAAAGAGAATAGGATTCCAAAAAGTCAGTACATGCAGTACAGACAAATCCCAGTGCCATTATCATTGGCTTCTCAGTCTGTCCCAATTGTCAGCCACATTCTGAGGGTCCAGTTTGATCCCATGCTCATTCAGTCCCAGTCCAGCTGGATTTGGTGAGCTTCCATTACTTCAGGCACAGTGTCTCAGGGGGTGGACTAACCCCTCGCAGTCCTGACTTCCTTGCTCATATTCTCCCTCCTTCTGCTCTTCAACTGGACCTTGGGAGCTCAGCCCAATGTTCCGATGTGGGTCTCTGTCTCTATCTCCATCCATCACCAGATGAAGGTTCTCTCTCTCTCAGTTTAAATTTTAAAACTCAACTTATTAAAAGGCTGTGTGTTGCTTTTTTCCTCTTTTTGTGTATCATATCAAATAAGAAATTGATAGCATGCTGTAGCTGTTAATAGTCCAAATAAGAAGCACATGAACAGGAGTGTATGTTGACAAAATGAACCATTGCAATCTTGAAATTACAGAGCTTTGCTATTAAATAGGATTTTAACATTAATTTTATCAAAACTCAGGTGCTTGAACTACCACTGTGTGGTAGATTTTCATTTTCCTTACAAAGTTCTTAGTTCTTTGGCCTCTAAAAGCATGCTTTATTGTTACTGTTAAAACAAATAGAGTCTACACAGCTGAGTTTACGACATCTGGGGTAGTTTGTGGATTGCCCCAGATGCTATGGATACCATCAAAATTAATAAAGATTAAGTTTGAAAAGGAGGAACCTCTTGAGACAGAAATGACAGCTCATCCACAGAGATGACAATCATACAGGTGGTAAGGAAACCTCATAAGGGTTGGGCAGGGTTCTGTTCTTGTCTTTGCAGGAAAATACTCATCTTCAAAATATCGAGAGACCGTGGTATCTAGATGCCTAAAGGAAAAAAGATCCAGAAAGAATCACCAAGCAAACAGAAATCTGACTTATGAGGACAGGTCATCTTCAGGGTAAACATTTCATTACCTGAACATGTGTATATCTCCACTTAAAAATTAAAGCTGGCTTTGGACTTGGACAATGGCTATTCTTCTCTAAATCTAAGTATGTTGTTACTAGAAAAATTCAGTGCTTATGTCTCCTATCAGGAGCCATCTGGTATGGCACAGAAAGAAGAAAGAATTTAGGAAAAATTTTACTTCTCTCCATACCTTTTTTGTTGTCTCTATCGTACCTTTCATTGAATATATGTCTATATGAATAATGTTTAAGTTTTCCACAATGATCAATAAATTTTACTGCAGTAATCTTTTAAGTTTCCAGGAAGAAGAAGGGGCTCCACAACAATGATTCCACCTGGTTGATATGACATCATGATGTTGATAGCGCTACTTTAAGATT